GGACTGTCGCTTAGAAGCACTAGTAATGCATGAGAACCCTTTTTTGATAGCTGCGGTACAAACCCAGAGCCTGGTATTTCAGAATAAGAAGAGGATTGTTGCCTCAAAAACGTATGTACAGAAACAAGAGATGGAGAGAACAAATGGACTAAGAAATAACACAACAATATTGATTAGCACAATAAGCAGTCTTTGCAGCAAAATTGATTTGGTATCTCATTTAAGTGTAGTTGTAATCAAACAGGTTTTATCAGATTTAGAGGTGACATTTCATTAAGTTGGCCTAAAGCTTTTAGCTATGTGTTTTATCAGCCCAGGCACAAAATATACACAACAGCTCCAGACAAAACTTGTTTAGGGTTTCCTTGGCCCAGTAGCTAGTGTGGTCCTGATATGGTTGTGCTGACACCCGGATGTGCTGATAACCTGCTAAAGAGGTGTTTGCATTGACTGGATTGCTGCTTACTCTGATAGTACTCCCCCAGTCCTATGTATTTCATCATTGGAATTGTTGTTTTGCTATAGTAAATTTGGGGAAAAGATCTTGGACGAATGTATAAGCATGCCATTTCAATAGTCATGGTGTAAATGACATCCTCATGGCCATTCTCAGGAAAAATCAAAAGGTCTGTAGACTCAGGCTACCAAATATTTCATTTAGGCTGTTGCAGAAGGGTTTCTTTGCCAGTTGAGCATGCAGGTGGTGTTTTCTTCTTGTACAATGATATGTATAGGTCTGAACTGCTTTTTAAGCTTTTATGCCTATCAGAAGTTCACGTGATGTTCCTGCCATCATCTCTTACCAATGCCCTTAAAGGAAGTCCAGTTTAACTAGAGGGAGCAGCCTCTAAAACCTCATTAGACTTACTCTCTCCCCTCAGCAGTGCTATTACAAGCCTGCTTTTTGTCAGCAGTTCTCCAAGACTTGCAGCACAATTTGTGAACCAACTCATCTATGCAGTCATATGGGAAGAGCCACATGATTTTCTTTTATGTTGCTTCATATGCAGTCATGTTACAGGTGAGCCAAACAGACTGGTTCAGAAATTAAAGAGTGAACTTTATAGTGAGGACTTCAGCACAAGTTTGGTTTTCCCTTTAACAAAACATTCACTGTTATTCCCCCATCCTGAATCTGAAAGCCCTATTTATGTAGTAACTTCCAGAATGGCACCTCTGGAAGTAGCAGGCTCCCTTCTGATCTATTTATTTGTGTTTAGGATCGATACTGCACCCACGTCTCCTCTTTGGCAGGGTTATGTAGTATGCTGTAGGCTATTCTCCATTACACCACCCAGCCAGAAATGAAGATGATATTTAGATTTCTTCAGTGAAGCAAGAGCTCAGTATCTGGAGCAGAACTGTGAACTCAACCCTTATCTTTATCTTGATAAAAGGAAGACTTTTTTCCTCCACATATTTCATAAGGCAATGTAGTATAAAAATAGGAGTGAACACAAGTTACAGTTCAATCAGACACCAGCCACTTGGATCATTAAAACGATAAAGTTGAAATGCAATGGTTTGACATTCAGAAGATCTTAGACCTTAAATTCTAGTATCCATTTCCCTCATATCCACTTCCCTACTAAAACTATCCACAAAATTGCATAAATCAGATTGTATTGGTGAGGATAAATGAATTATTTTATAATATAGCATAAGTGATTTTATAATACAGCAGTCAGTTCAGAAAAGTCTAAGCAACAGCTGTTCCAAGAACGAATAATTATCATAATACCTTTTCATCACTGAAATTCTTCCATCTTGTTTATATTTCTGAATATATGACTAGTAACTGGAATTCAGACAAAAACTACCAATGTAGAAAATGACAAGATTCTTCTGACAAGGTGCTCTTGTGTTAAAAATCACAGTGTATGTCGGGGGAGCTACGTAACTTTTTTGTATTGGTTTGGTTTTATATACCTTCACTTTTTGCACACAGATGCTCCCTGTGAATTTGAAAGGCAGCCACAATACATGATCTTTCTTAAATAAGTGTTCCTCTGTTTTTGTGAATAACAAAAAAGTTCTGCAAATCAGTATAACATGTTTTCGGTAAATTACACAAATGCATGATCAGTAATATGGAAATACTCAGAACAGCAGAATATAGGGCACAGTAATTTGGTATTGCCAAACCAGAAGTTTAAAAATCATGAGTCAGATCTCCTAAAATTATAAACCTAGTTTAAAATTATGAGCTTAAAAAACACACGTGGCCTTATTCACCTTCTGGCTTTTTAATCTTTAGCATATGTTCAGATTATGCTTTTAGGATTTTCCATGTAATTTGCAGAGCTAATTTTTTTTAATAAAGAAAATAGCTGATTACCCCATCTCACAACTAAAAACAGGCTGCCTCAGATTGATTAGACTCAATTAAATCATGGAAGTTGTCAACACTGATTAAACTAATGCTTGATGTTTCAAGGAATAATTATTTTATAATTAAGTGGTTTTAAAGCACATTTATTTACATAGACTTCTGATAGTTTGCTGAAGCATGATTAAAAGCTGAGGTTAGTATCACTAGTGCCAACTAGATAAACTGGTGTGCTGTGCATTTTAAGCAGTCAGTTCTTTACTTTCCTGTAACTGCAGCCTCCTTTTCTTCCAGCCAGTGCCAGCTCTGCTAACAGTAATAAATAAGGGACTTTAAAGCAGATAGTTTGCAAGTAATCATAGATCAGAAAAGGACCTGAATAGGTCATTCAGTCCCATTTTGTGTCTAACCCAAATCTCCTTTCTTGCAATTTAAGGCAATTATTTCTATTCCTATTGATTGTGGATATGAGAAAAAGTTAATACCTTTTTTCTTTTTTTTTTTTTTTTTTGCAACCACCTTTTATATATATGTAAATTATCATGTTTCTCCTCCAGCATCTCTTCTGTAAGATGACCTAAAATCATTCAGTCTGTGCTCAAAGGCAAAGTTTTCTCAGCTTCTAGACATCCTCATTGCTTTCTCCTGGATGCTCTGCATGCAACTTCTATCTTATTTTTAAAGTGCCGTGATCAAAACTGGAGACATTAACTAGCTCACCCCTTAGCAGTTCTGAAGGAGCTGATTATACTCCATTTTAGACGTTTCCATTTTTATCTTTATTTGCAACAGCATGATCTTGCAGATTCATTTTCAGAATTTGATCCAAAATAACACACCATTTTTTTTCAATGGAAATTAAGCAGCTGTTCCTTTACTTGCACAGCTAACGATTCCAGCTTGCACTTGTTCCTATTAAATGACATCTTATGTTTTCAGATCATGTCTGCACCTTGCCAGGATTATTTTGAATTCTTATCTTCTAGTATACTTGAAGTCGAACTCTGCTTGGTCTTTTTTAAAGATATTAAAAGGATACTCCATATGGTCCAGGGAGTGAATAAATGAAAACAGAGAATTTTGCCTAGAACTGCTGTGAATGGGGTTAAACAACGTCATGTAATTATTGGCAGTAACTGTAAAGCTGGAAAATGATGATAAGTCTTAAACAAGGGAAATGGTGTACTGTAAACACAGGCAAAGACCAATACTTCGTACTCGGAGATCAATATAATTTGATTAATCTCTCAGATTCACTTAAATGCTTAGTGTAAAGAATTTTTATAATAATTGTACTATAGCATTTCTCTTATTTTCTCATTCCTATGACAGTTTGATTTTTACTAATCTCAGTTTTCCCTCTTGTCATTCTTAGCAGGTGAATGGGAAAAACACAGGAGCAGATGAAGCAGTTGGTAACTGGAACTTCACCCTGTTGCCGGGACTGTTATTAACTCAGGTATAAGATGGAATTAAATGAGAATAATAAGCAGATTTGTAAGAATATTTTATTAAAGATACTGTATCAAAGCACAGAATAAGCTTAAAGATTATGAAAACTAACCTGGAATGTCTTCACTGATACTCTACAAAGACTACAAATAATTGCTAAGTTACAGAACAGTCACAGCCTGTTCTAGATATCCTACACTTAGTATACTGTTGAAGGCATAGCTTTAGGTGATGCTATAATGATATTTCCCTTCTCTCCTCTGCTTCGTGGTGGTCCTACCACAAAGGTCCTTCCTGTTCTCTAAGGAAAGGACATCCCATTTTCTGTTAGATTTCCCAGCTATATTGTGCCTTCTCCCTGCAGAGTCCCCCATGGTAGCTGGCTTTGCCCAGATATTCACCATCTTCCCCTTTGCTCCAGCACAGCCACTGGGACAGAAGTGTCAGCATTCCAGTAGTGCACTGAACGTTTAAAATGCCTATATTAATGTTTAAGGTGTTAAGTGTTAATAGAGCTGATACCTCCAACATCTATGTGCTGAAGTGTTTGGGGCTATGTAACTAGATTAAGCAACCACATTCAAAGATATCTGAACATCTTTTCTTGCATTTGTATAGCAACTTTATAAACTCAAAAAGAGTAAAGCAAGCACAGACACATGCCCTATACAAGCTGCAATACAGACAATATTTTACACACTTCATAACAACAGTAATGAAAATGATGCCAATTATAAATAAAATTATAGACAGACTCTTCTTGAGATAACAGTTATACTAAACAATGAAACATCCTTTTATAGTCATGAATAGAATTAGTAAGATGCGGAACTACAGCAGAATATAGATCAGCATGTTTAGTCTGCTTACATGTCTCAATCTGATTCACTGTTGTCTGGGGGAAGCAAAAGAAATTACTATTTTTTTAATCCATGCTGGCCCTAATTTGAAAAATTTACTGCCTTGTTCGTTTTTTTGTTAGGTTTTTTCCCCCCATTAATTTAGCTGGAAACATTAATATTCCTAGAATGCTCAAATCTGAACTTGAGTGCCTGATTCTCCTCTTCAAGCCAGCTTTTACAAGGCTTAGATCCAGAACAAGGTGCACCCTGTGCCCTGTGAAGATTATTTCTCACATTTACTCATTTCCTTGTTGGTAAAAACATTTCACCATTCTTGTAACAAGACCAGAGCACCATTTCTTTACTCTCCACATACAAGCACTGTGCTCCATGGAAGGTCCTCTTCTGCTTGCAAATGATGATCATGGCAGCAGGGGGAATCAGGTCAGCTGGATCTTTCTCACCATCCTGTCCTTCCTCAGGGACCCTCTGTCCTCAGTTCTTAAGATTCTTTTTCACCTCATACTCTTTTTTTTTTTTTTGGTCTTTTTTAACACTTGATAGTTTAGCATTGTAACTCTCTGAAAATATGTAACTTTTCGTTCACGAGTATACACTTCTAACGTTGGAACTAAAACATCTAAACAGTTTTTGACAGAAACTCTAAGAAGCCTCATTTCAGAAAAGGAGCACTCCAGCACATTAATAGCAAATTCTACAAACTCCTTTCAGTGCAGCCTTTAACACCTGGCATCTGCCTTTTTTGGCTTTCTGCTCCATGAAAGGAGACTTCAAATTTGTTTTTAACAGGTGTAAATAATAGTCACAAGGAAATAAGTTTTATAATACAGAGTCCAAAACAACTTTTACTGCATGTTTTAATTTGACTGCTCTGGTGCCTTTTGCGACTGCTGCAGTATGTCAAAAAAAAGCAAAGGTGGTGCCAATTCAGATCTGGCACACGTGGTTCTGAGTTTTTATGAAATCTTTTGCCGACCAGTTCTTCCTCATGTCTTCTTCAAACCTGGTTCTCTCAGTTGTTCAGAAGCTTAGAAGTCCCTATTTCACTACTGCCATGCAGAAAAGAAATGCAAGAAAAATATTAAAAGTCAGAAGCCCACACTCCAGTACGGTATTTGCTAGCATGATGTGTCCCTCCCACCTCACTATGGTGTGGTTTTGCTCTAAATACCCATCCTTCAGTTATATTCAGAGCACCCATCAGAGTCAGGAACTCTGTTTAAAAGCCATATGGTTCATTTCCTTCAACCCCTACCCCACCAAAACACATCTTAACCTTAAACAGTGTTTTGATCTTGTTTCAGAAACTTTTGTTTGTCTCTTTCTCCTTTGCCTTCCATTTTCAAAACAGCTAAAGATTTGCTGAAGAAAAACTTCACTTCCCAAGCCTCCCAGAAGTTATTTTTGATACTGTATGTGTTACTTTCCAGCAGTGGTTTATGGCTTGGCTTAGTGGATGCTCAAAAAATTGCATGAGTATTACTTCCCCTCAGCCTGGTCTTCTCATAGCTTGGAACACCCCCACCCTGGAATACCTTACTGCTTCATATTTGCCTCTGTTTGATTTTTTTTGTTTGTTGGTTTTTTGCCTTGCCTAACTCAGAGGTAACTGTTACATAGTTACTTAAGCCCCCTCCCCATATTCTTATTTTAGGTTAAATGCAGATAAATGATATAAATATTTACAATTCCTGTAAGTCTCTTTTGACCAAACTAATTTATGACAAACATGAGCAGCTTTGTATCTGATAAGTATCAGTCAAGAAATTGGAAATATGTGGATGTAACTTTTAAAGACGATCCTCAGAGGTTTTTTTCTTGGTACACTGACTTCTTTCTCTGGATATGTAAATTACATTGTTCAAAGTATACGTTTGTCTCGCTGCTGGCTAACTTACATGTGATGTTTCTATGCACACTACGGCAGCCCTCGACCAAGTGGTTGTGTCAATACTGCAGAGCAGGAAAGGCTTCAAGGCTGCATGTGAAGCCAGGTTTATCAACTGTCTGCATTACTTACCTGCTAGAGCATCCTCAAGGCCAGCTCAGGGCTGAATTTCCTGGCACGCCTTTCAGAGGAAAGCCTTGAGAGTGGAGTTCCACCCTTCAGTGAGCATTATAGGATGCCCTGTGTGACATGTGGCCAGGCCCTCACAGCATATGACAGGCCCAGAATTGTCTGTATATTTATATCTGCCCTCTGTGCCATGTGACATACTTGATGGCAGACAAAAACGCAATCTGGGACAAACGGCTTTTGTTTGATGCCAGGAGAGTGACGTGAACATGGGGAAGCAGGTCTTGGGCAAATGCTAGCTTCAAAGTACTGCTGGTTCTGGCAGCAACTCCATGTGTCTACCTAATACATTCTTCAGATCTTGGAGGGGAATTCACTGGACTGATACTGTTACCTCAACGTAGCTCTTACTTGACTAGGTCAAAGGGCAGGAAATGCCTTTTTTTTTTAATTTGTAAACTAACAAAGGAGGAAAAAAGGTATTCTAACTACAGTATGCATGTGAACATTTTTCCCAGGCAACATCAGTGTTTAACACTGCTGTTTATTAAGATGCCGGCTTGCATTTTACAGTCAAAGATCTCCATTATTTGCAGATCATGCACAGCTCAGGCGGCATGACTGAGCTTTACACCACCACCCTCAAATACACCCGACTATGCTGTGTGGGACCACCTCTGAGTATGGGAAGGTGGGTTGCCTGTGAATATTAAATTACATTTTTCCGATGAGACTGCAAATATGCTGTTAATCAGTGCCAGCTGTGGTGGTGTGGTGTACATACAGAACTGTGAACACCAGAGAACCGCTGGCATTGCTAATAGCTTTTAGCCCACAGTAAACTCGATTAGAGGTAAAACGTTGTGCCCTCCTCCCAGACTCTAAAATCCTCTAGCTACCCTAAAAACAGAAGTTGTTTTAGGAATGCACAGCTGCAAGAGGATCTGCTTCAATCTTCACATAGTAAACTCTGCTCAACTGTAGAAACGTTTGAGCTTTTAAAATAGAAATATCCATGTTTCTAGTTAGCCACCAGATGGAGCCCATACCTCCCCATCACACAAATCCATGAACATCTGCAAAATTCAAGCACTTCAGAGATGTTACAAAGGATGCAGTTTCTTCCACTTCATAAAAGTCAGAGGAAGTCGGTGATTAGCTGGATGTTTACAAATAAAAGGAGGATCTGGAGATAGATCAAAGGTAACTCTCCAGATTTGGCATGATATCAAGGTCCTGTACTAATAGTATCTGCATGGGTTTGACTGTTACATTAAGTGATTGAACTTGGCATATCTCATCATGTATTAATAATGCTTTTTTTAATGCTTAGCGCATTTATTAGAAGTCTGAAGATTCAGCCAGCTAAGGACCTGAAAAAAACAAAAAACCACCATCCCCCCAGCTAACAAGATCTTCCAGGCTCCATTGAAGAGAAGCACCCACTGGGTTCTTCCTAACTCTGCTTTCTGCAATGTAAAGGGAATCAAGAAGCAAAGATAAGCGCTGTTCCAAAATCCGAAGGATGTAGTGCTTCAGGCTTAGTAAACAGGAGCAGTAGTGCTCAAAGCCTGTTCTCTAATGATCTAAGTAGCGTGGTCCAGTCATACCATATATGCTTTTTACTGAGAAGCCTATAGTTCATACCATCCGGGATCTCAGTGAGTTTGGCACAGCCCCAATGACTGGGGAGAAAAACAGATCTGAGATAAAAGATTGAGGTGTGTGAAATACACTAAGTTAATGTATATGTGTTTTAAGGGACATCTTTGTTTTGACTCTGTGTAAGAAACCAACATAGCTTGTGAGGTCTGGAAGGCCACAGACTATTCCTACTTTCATAGTAGTGCTCTGTTTGAAGCTAGTATTTCTATTTGGGGTCTAAGCCACACTGAACTTGATCAAATAAACATTCTCCAAAGGAAACTGCCTTTGAATTATTTAACCCTTTGCACAGCAAGCTGCAGCTGAAAAGAACTGTAACAATTACTGTAAGATTTCTTGTGTCTTAATTGACTTTATTTTTCAGGGTTTAAGTTACTGTTCCTCAGGACCTCTGTCTTTTCTGGCAGACCTGATCATGTTAGCAACAGCCAGTAAAATCTAAGTGAAACAAAAACCCATCTGAAAGCAGACTAGGTGGGGCTAATCCTCAAACTTCCAGGCATGCAGACTGTGCCAGTGTCATGTTTTACAGCATATGGAAGTGTACACAAATTATATTTAATCTACACGATAGCAATGCAGCTCAGAGATCCAGGCTCTCTCCTGGGCTGTGGGACATACCCAGGACACACCAAAACAATTTCTGCATCAGTTCCAAGGGATCCTACCCTGTATTTCCTCCTTCTACAGTACTGCTGTATCTATCCTTTTCCTGAAGGAGGGATATTCTAGATTTCATCTCTTAAAATATCTTCACTTTGTATAAGTAATTAAATAACCAATGGTGAGAAACCAGAACCTCGGTAGTTTGATAGTTGGGACTCTATCAGTAGGTACCCCATAGGCAGGGAAGAAGCAGAGGCACCATCTTTAGCATCCTGAATAAATGCTCTAACGATGACTTGTGTAAAGGGAAGGAGTGTAACCGATACCAGAAGTCTGGTGTATCTATTGCCAAAACCAAAAGTAATCTATGGTATTCAGCAAACCCTGGTTTTAGCCAGCATATCTGCATTTCCATAAACTTCCACGGTCTTGGGGCTTTTACCATGGAGAGAAGAGCATTATGTTATTTCTCCCATTCATTTTCTGGGGAGTGAGAAGCAGAAGTCCCTCTAGTGATCACCCCCAATGTAGTGGGGATGGTTACCTAAAAAGGGAGAGAATAGGTATTACTGAGTTGTGTAGGTTCAGTTGAACATGTGAGAACTATTGAAAAAGTCAAGTTCTTAGCCCTAGTCATTGTTTTAAAACAGGAAGAAAGCACATCTTCCCATTTCAAAAAACAGAAGGCAAATAGAATACCCAAAAGGATGGATCCTTTAAAATAGCAACCTGAGGGAGAAGAGATGGGGAAAGACTGATTTTTGCATCTTTCTTGTTGGCAGCACTGCTGCTGCAGAGACCTTGGCAGTTGCTAACAGTGGTGGCACTTTGCCTGACAGACAGGTTGAGAAACCAGGGATTTGCAGACAGTCCTGGTTTCCAGCTTCCAGGAGTTGGAGGCCTTTAAGGAATGCTCTCTTCTCATTCCCTGTCAGGAGTATTGGGATGTCTACAGAACCACAAGACATACTTATCTGAGATCATCTCTTATTTGCAACCAAAAAAAAAAGTACATCCTAAAATCACAGTTAAGTTTGAGTAAAAACAACAGCAGCATCGGGACTTCGTTAGAGAGGGAAGTTCTCGAACAGCTCTGAAAGGGCTAACTTTTTTCTTTCTCCCATAGGAAATGCTAGATGCAGCATTGTTTTTGTGGTTGTGGCTGCAGGAAGATTTACTATAGTTTTAGTATGCCAGAAGGCACAGGAAAGAATTAAACATTTTCTTGCAAGAGAATCAAAGATACTGACCATTTCTGAAATTCTAGGTTCTTGGGGTGAGGCGTGCCACGCTAGCTACGCAAAATAGACAGTCAAAATCTGGCCTTGGACTATCTGCTGATTTCTCATAATTCTGTCATGTTCCCTTGAATGCATTAATATGAAACTTTAAAAACATATTTTCGACTACTTTTATATAGGGAATGTGCATAAATTACTGAAAAGTAGTACTGTTTTCCCATGGCCTAAAAAAAAAAAAAGCTACAAGACATTTGAGGGCAAAAATGACCCAAAGAATGATCGGATAGCATTTCTCTTGTAAAGTTGGCACTGGTCATTCAAGTACATGAAAAGGAACATGGGCTGTTTGTTTCAGGGCTGAATATTTATAGTCATGATGAACTGACTCCTGAGTCATGAGCTCTGTTGCCCTGTAACAAATTAAGATTTGTCTTTCTGCATGAAAAAATAATTAAAAAAAAAAAAAAAATCACAATTAATTCCAGAATTGTAGAAGTGACTGTAAAAGTGGCAGAAGACA